GACAGCAAGAAGCCTCCCAGATCTCCAGATGCATTTGAGATATCAAAAAAGTACTCCAGAGTGTTGTTCAGCATGGGGGTGAGTAGAAAATGAAGGCTAATCATGTTTTGGGTGTACTATTCCTTTAATGCAAAGTTATAACATATAAAACCCTTAAAACTGAGGTTTCTGTAAACTAAATGTCAGCCTGATCTCCACTGTAAATCTCTCTGTCTCTGTATGTTCAGAGACATATCGGGTATTACAGGCTCATGGATCCATTGGTCTGGTTCAATTTGCATGTTTCCTAAACAAAAACAAGGCTTTGTTTTTGGTCCATTCTATAAAGCCTGGAACTCAACGCTCTTTATGACATTTTGAATCGAAAAAAGCTTCCTGGATGGGAAGCGAAACGTCTTCAAACCTGAAAACAAAATGCAGTGGATTGTTTTGTACCTTTTTGAAACACCACTTTAAATGATTTAGATTTTCCCAAATTAATAATAATATTTACAAATTTGGATTCAAAAAAGGGAGTTAATTTGTTTTGTTTTAAGAACACATTTCAATTGTTTTTAGTTCTAAAATCCTGGTTTTAATATGTTAAAATTGTTTTCTTTTGTACCAATAAAAACTAAAAGGTGTCCTCAGAGAGCAGAGGGACGTGGGAATGAGGTCAAAAAAACAAGGAGAGGCGTTAGTGTGTGTAGAGGAACCTGCCTCACTCTTCATCACCCTCCACAGGTTGAGGGTGACGCGTCCGATGATGTTGATCTCAGTCATGGTGTCGGCGCCGTACTCGTCCCTCTCGGCGGCGAAGCGGTTTTCCTTGGAGTCGCCTGGGGACACGCAGAAAGCCAGACAGGAAGTTAATTACAGAGGCTGAGGCTCCCCGCTCAGCTGGAGACCACAAACACACCGCTGCCATGGAGACAGCATCCCCGAGCTGCTACGCTCAGTCCCAGGGAGGCAGTGCGACCAAACACAGAGGCTCTGCTCTCACATGTTATGAATCTCTTAAGGATAATTTCATCTATAATAGTTAAATCATGAACATAATCATTCAGGCTGTTTGTCTTCTGAACAAATGAGTTCATCTCAAAAAGCTAAAGGAGAAATAGAGAAATGTGAAGGAGGGATGGATATGAGGAAGGAGAGGTAATCATCTGATTAAAAGTGCACTTAGATTTTGTTTTTCTTTTTAAAATTGGTTTTATAGGCTTAAAGTAATGAAATAAACCAGAAAACAATTTCCAAAATATTGCACAGGTATATTGAAGGTCTTTCTCTATCAACATGACGTATCATCTGAAATGAATTTGATTTTAATGATAATGTCCAGCCCTGAGTTAACCTCAGTGAAATCGTTCATTAATTGAACCTTAAGTTTCAGTTTCTGAGAATCAAATCTGTTTCTATATGAGTAACACTGGATAATATTACAGTGTTTTATTATAAAGTCAGAGTAATAAATACTCATTTTAAACAACTCTCTATGCACATTTTGAATGTTGAGTGCAGATTTAATCACAACCATGAGTCCATGCTCCCTTCTGCTCTTGTTGTTTCCATTTATGCGCCTCTATAGTCTCTCTTACTCGCGTGTGGACCTGTTTCTGTGTGCATTCTACTGATCTCTATTTATTCTCTGGATTGCTGATTGCTCATTTGTAGAATGGGGTTGAAGTGAAGCCCCCAGCCGCCATATTGGTACTCCCTACTTGTCGCCATCTAAACAATATATGAGCTACAGCATCAAACAACGATGAGTTTCTCATTTTCAGAGGGACTTAATACTTTTAAAATAAAGATTAATTCATCACTTTGAAACAAACAGGCTGTTTCATAGCATCAGTAGATTACTTTCACTTATGATTTAAAAAAATAGGCACATCACATCGCATAGTTATTATGAGGTCAATAAAGTCTCTAAATCATGTAATATAACATATTATAAAATATCCAATAGACTTAATGTGTTAATGGCAAGAATAATGCAGATGTGCTAAAAGTGCTAAATTGATACATGTTTTATACATGTATTTGTTACATTGTTATGGTAATTACATATTACACATGATTTCAAGATTTCACATCAAGACTGAATTACAAGTACATGTCTGTTACTGGTATAGTATGTTCTTATTTGCAAATTGTGCATGATGTTATATACTTTAATGCTGTTTCTGCATTATCCCATTATATAACATGCAATATACACTCACCGGCCACTTTATTAGGTACACCTGTCCAACTGCTCGTTAACACTTAATTTCTAAGCAGCCAATCACATGGCGGCAACTCAGTG